TGGTCTGCCCAGCTACTCAGGAGCCCTGTCCCCGCTCCCCACATCTGCAGCCCCCCCACCCCCCACTTGTGGGCTGCGTCCCCCCGGGCTCGTAGCTCGTTAGCCAAGAAATGCCGTGGTGGTCTGCCGAGGCGCAAGGCTGTGCTCACTCATGAGCAGCCCCCGAGGGATGCTCACCACAGCGTGGCCCGGTGGCTCTGCCATCACCTGCACACCAGCACCACGCCTGCCGTGTCTGACAGCCTCTCGGACCCTGATACACCTCCAACATTGTGTCTCAAAGTGCTGCTGCTTCTCCCCAGACACCTCACGAATATGTTAAGCAACGTGGAGCTGCGGCGGAGCCTGCAAGCCCCCGTGGCTGCCCTGTGCTGGGATGACAACTGCCCGTTTATACCTCCTCTGTTTTCTCTCTCTTGGTGAGCCTTTGATGTGTGGCAATACTTTGCCTCTCGCTCCACGACAACTTAATTTCTATAGTAACCTCCTGTGCTGGATCTTGTCGAAAGGCCTTTTGAAAATCTGAATAAACTATGTCGAGTGGTTTTTCTTCTACCCACTCTTTACTGACGTATTAGAAGACCTCTAACATAACAAATGAGTCTGGATGCTCCTGTGTAGAAGTTGTGCTGGCTCAAGCCGAGCCTATTGCAATCTTCCAGCCACTCAGGTTTTGATAACCGGCTCTGCCAATTTGCCAAACATGAAGGATTTTTCCTCGCGATGCTCCCACAGGACCGGCAGGGCCACCCCTGCCGTGACAGTCCCTGGGGACAACCTGGGGACACGTTTCAGGGGAGCCCCAAGCCTGCCCCGGGCCAGCAGCGAGGGGGACTGTCGCAAACCACTCCAGCTCATTACAAAATTTTAATTAATCTATGAAAATTTCCTATCTGCAAATAATTCAGACCTTATGAAATTCCAATAAAACCATTTATCACAGCTGGCAATTTGATGCTGCCAGCAGAGCTCTTGGACGCTCAGATAGTAATTGATAGCCTAATATAATTTTAAATTAGCGTTTGTGTTATTAATTTCAACCCTCTGAAAACACCTCTTTTTTGGACTAAACCCCACTTCTCCTGCTACCCTGCAGGCAGCGGGCGCGCATCCAGGGAGCTGCCGATAAGCACCTGCCTCTCTGCCTGCTCCTGCCGCCCTGCCCGCAGCGGTGCTGGGGGCTCCCAAGCATCCCCGGTGCGGGGCTGTGACACCAGGAGCAGGGCTGGCTGGTGACATCCCGTGGGAGCAGGGGTGGCTCCCGAGCCGGGAGAGCTGCAGAGGGACAGCAGAGCCGAGAGCAGCGTGTGCACACACGGGGGGGGCCGAGCGCGACCCCCGCAGCCCAGCCCACCACTTTTGCAGTTAAATACTCCATCCGAGTAATTTACACTTACGCACCCGTCAACTTTCGGGGACGTGGGATCCTTCTCCCCGTGCTGAGTAACATCCCTGCGTGTCGCTAAACAGCTATTACACCCTGCTGTGGGGCGGCTGCGTTTCGGAGGTGGGAGAAGGAAAATGATCCCTGTACTTACGTGGTCTTAACTCTGTAACACGCTCAAAAACTTGCAAAAGATACCAAGTAATGAATGCATAATGACAGCTGAAATGTGACAGTCTCGCCATCCCTCCGCTACAGCGCTCACCAGTAATCCCAGTGACAATGGGAGCAGCATGGGGCACAGCCCACGTCAGTGGGGAGTCACGGGGAGCCTGCGGGCACCCCGCTGCTGCGCTGGGACTGCCTGCCCTGGCTAGGGCTGCCGCCACAGAGCCCCGAGCCGGGAAAGGGTTGCTGGTGACATGCCAGGGGGCCTGGGAAGGGTTGGGGACAGCAGAGACAGCGAGTCAGGAGAGGCTGGTACAGACAAATAGAGAAGCCGGTGAGATGGGAGGCGAGAGCATGTTTGATGCGGTTCATTAGTTAATGGGCACGCCGGGCTTTGAAAGTGCAAAGCACTAAAGAGGTGCAAAGGATTTCATGTTTTAAATTATTTATTCGGGGTTTTTTTTCCTCTTTTTTTCTAACTAGACGCCGTGAGGAGCAGCCGTGCGTGGCCGACCAGGAGCAGCACAGCCATGCTTGAGCCCGGCGGGGGCCGAGTGCCCCTGCGCGGCGGGAGGGAAAAAAATGCGGGGCTGGGTTTTGGCTGCTGCTGCCCAGTCCTGGGACTAACACGGGGATCTAGACCCACGGGACGGGGGACCGTGCGTGGGGCAGCGTGGCTGGCACACTCTCGTCCCCGGCCAGGCATCACGGGGGACCATGTGGGGCCACTGCCACCAAAGGGCAGCTCTGGGGGCCCTGGGGCATTATAAAGGGATTCCCACAAACAACGCCTGTCCCCCCGTCTCTGCCCTCGCCCGGGGAGCACGGCAGAGTGCAGCTGCTTAAGCCCTTTCTTTGGGACCATCAGGGGACTGAGCCAAAGGCATAATTGTGCTGGGGAGCTACTACCACATTAAAAACCTGGACACAACCCCGTAACGAGATTTGTAATTTGTCCCAGGCAGGCAGGCAGGCCGCAGTGTACTTTCCCCATTAGGGGCCACGTGCCGTTAGCAATCACATTAGTGGGGCCGGGATTTAGCAGCAGGAAATCAAAGCGGTCCCTGCAGACCCCGGCCCATTGCTGAGCAAGCCGGGCAGCTGAAGGGTGCAGAGGGGCTGCCTGTCCCCACATGCTCCCTGGTCACAGCTTGACCAGGCTGTGCTGGGGTCCTCCTTGCTCCTGCCAGCATTGGGAGCCACAGGGTTCTCCCACTTGGTCACCTGGTAGCTGAGCCTCCCTGGATGTCACGCAAACATGGTTTGATCTGCTCCCAGCTGTGCTGAAACCCCGGCGGAGTCCCAGCCCTCGCAGCCGCGCTGCCCTCATTCGCTATTTTATTCTTGGGATCTATTGGTTAAACAGATTTTAATCTACACAGTCTGGAGCTATTGATACCATGCCGTGCTAATTTGTTAGCCGGCTGTCAAGCAGACAAAGCGAAATGCCAAATATTAAATGAAATGTATTGTGTGAAACAGACCAGTGCCAAGGTCCCTGTTTCCCACGCGGCATCCAGCTCCCACATGGGGCTCAGGGTGATTTATAGGTCTCACGGGCCTGGGCCCCTGGCAATAGGTGCTCTTGGAGTATGCATTGGTGTGTGGGACACCTGCAGGACTCCCTTGGACCCATTGATTTGGGGGGGCACCAAGGGTTGCCCTACTCTGCAGGGGAGCTGGGATGTCTGCCTACACCCAGTCCCTGGTCTCTCACCCCTCTGTCCCCAGTGGGAAGGACTGCACCCCAGCCCCTATGACTGCCCCCTCCCCAGCTCGCTGGGTGCCCTCTCTGCCCCCCAGTGTGTGGCCCGGGGGGTGCTGCCAGCCCCTGGGGGATGGCAGAGGATTTTCTGTGCTGGGGTAGCTGTGTGAGTGCAGGGGGCACCCGCTCCCCGACCGCCACGCCTGGGAGATTATTTATTTGGTGAGTTATGACTTTGTTTTCCCCTGTGTAAATATCTGGGAAGCGCAGCTAATGTTCTGTGCACAGCCGAGACAATTACAGCCCTCAGCATAGCCTCGCCGCCCCCCTGGCCCCCTCATGCAAATCAGCCCTGGGCCCGCCGTGCCTCATGTAAAGGTAGAAACTCGCATTAAACCACCACCGTGAAACACGGCCAGCGCTGCCCACAGCCCTCGGCCACCCCGCTCCGGCCCCGCGGGCCTGGGGGTGCTCCTGAGGCTGGTCCTGGGCAGCCCCACATGGGCCAGCTGTGCTGGGGTCACCTGTCCAGCTGTGCCCTGAGTGGCCCTTCCAGCTGTGCCAGGGGCTGCAGATGTGCCGAGCTGATCTTTCCACTGTGCCAGGGATGCCTCTCCAGCTGTGCAGGGGTGGGAGGGGGCTCCAGCTGTACAGGGCTGGTTCTTCCAGCTGTGCTCATGTGGGGCTCTCCAGCTGTGCAAGGAGAGCTCAGACTGCCCCCAGAAACATAGGGGAAGACCCCCACAGCCCCGCACAGACGGTGTAGAGCCCCAGACCGCTCTCCTGCAGACAGGAGCGGGGCTGCTGCTCCTGTCCCAAGGGCTGCTCGTTGGCACTAATGAGGGCGGGTGCCGGGGCCGTGGAGCCTGGGTGGCGGCGGTGTCTCCTGGGCCCCGGCCCCTGGACGACAGGAGGCCCCGAATCAGCTTCATTAAGAGCCATTGATCTGTTTCCTGCTTAATATATTTTTCATTTCCAAATGTTTTTTTCCAGGCTCCACAGCGTTTGCAGCTTGTACCAATTAAGGCAGCAGCACAGAATGAGCGCTGCAGCCCATTAATTAAACTTATAGGGGGAGATTAAGTGGCCACTCCATTCTCCCTGGCAGCTCTCTCCAAGCAACAGGCGTACTGGGGACAGGAGCAAGGCTGAGCACTCACGTGCCGGTCTCCTACCCTCCCTCCCCGCCGTGTCTCCAGCCGGCCACGCAGCCCCCGCTGCGCTCGATGCCGGCCACCGACCCATGGGTGCTCACCCTGGGCACAGCGCAGGCTGCAGCATCGCCCGCACAGGGGGAGCAGGGGGTGTCGGGCTCCCGCACACCAGGGCTCAGGGTGGGCTCCTCCCGGCCCCGCTCGGAGTGGGGATGCTGTGCTCGGCGTCTGCATATCGGTGCATCCATTTTGGAGAAGGGCACAGGGCACACGGGGATGCCGCCTTGCCCTGTGCCTGCCAGGGCTCATGCTGGCGGAGAAGCTGCAGCACCCGCTGCGTTGTCATGCTCCCGAGTGGCTTCTGCCCTCACTGTGGGGCAAGGGGACCTGGGCGACGGGGTCCCTGGCTCCCCAGACTGCCTCCGCCGAGCCGGCCGTGGGCACAGCTCTGCCCCACTTTCACAGAGCAGCGGTCAGGGACTGGCTGTGGGTTTGCTCGGGTGGAGCTGGGGCTCGCGGCAGCCTCTCGCGTCCCGCAATCGGCAGCGGGTGCCCACGCTGTGCCGGTCCCTTCAGGAGAAACATACCGATGGGCAACCCTAGCTCTGGTCGCGGCACCAACACTGTGGAGCAGCCGATGCTTGCGCTGTCACACACCGTTGCCATGGTGATGATCGCACTGTCACACACTGACATCCTCCCACCCGGGGCACCTGGGTACCGGGTGGCCTCGCTGGCACCCACTTTGGGGCTGGCGATGCCGGCAGGCAGGCGACCCGTGGCCCTGCAGCGGGAGGGGATGCGGCAGGAGCTGCACGGGTGCAGCAGGGGCAGGACCCTGGGTGCAGGTAACCCACCCCGTTGCAGAGTGCTCTTGCTGACGAGTCCTCCAGCCGCTAATGTCGACAAACGATAGAAGAAAGCAGCCATGCCCAAAGCCTGGAGCCTGGTCCAAACTATGTGCCAGAGGCAGAGCCACTTTGCCCTGCATCGGGATGGCAAAGAAAAAGGGACAGTGCAAAAAGCAAAGACCAAGTGGGGAGATGCTGAGCTCAGCAAAACAGCAGAGTGTTCATCTGGGGTCATGTCAAGGAGCTGGGAGGGGAACCGCTGCATATCCCACATCAGCCCTGTACAACAGACCCGCTGCCTCCTTAGGCAGGAGTGGAGCCTGGCAGGTACAGGCAGCAGCACCAGCAGAGCACCACAGATTTCACTCCAACGTTTCACTTATTGCCACACGACATTTTGATTAAAAACTTGTTTTATGAGGAATTAAGAGGGCATAGTAGATGGATTAAAAACCCGCTCATGGACAGATTCCTTAAACGGCTTTGTTAATGGGGAGGCATCAGGGAAGGGCTGTGCCAAGGAGAGGCCCTGGGGACCAAAACTATTTACTGCTTGCACCAACAGGCAATGTGAGGATGCAAAAACTCTGCTGGTGTGAGGAAGACTTGTGAAATAATAATGAGGAAGATAGTTTGCTGCAGCATCACAGCTGAGGTGCCAGGGTGAGTGCAGCAGAACAAGCCCCAATGCAAGGGGTGACACCGGGTAGGTGTTTAGGTGGAGGTTTAAGGAGAAATGGGGTGTCTTTAACACAGCTCTGTGGGCAGGGCGTGTTAACCTCTGAGTTTTCTATTTGTTTGGGTTTGTTGTCTTCCTGTGAGCAGTTGCTCTCAGAGGCAGGAGAGGATGGTCCTGCGGGTAAATAGCCCCCATCCCTGCTTTGGGATGCCCAGTCTGGCCATGGGCTGGACGCTGCCCTCCGCTCACCCGACACCACCATGAACACAAGGTGAAGGCAGGCTGTGCTGGCCTGGCAGGGGTTAACCAGGGGGTGAGGAGACCTGCAGCGGGTGGTGGGCCCAGAGCAGGCAGAGAAAAGGAGAAAAACTAGGCCTGCTGGGGGCTGAGCCCCTCCTGCCCAGGGGCTGCAGGGAGCTGTGTTGGGGACTACAGACCGGGGTGAAGTAGAGGGAAGAAGGCAGGGTGCTGCCTGCTGGCCCCCATGGGCTCAGCCCCCCACCCAGCGTGGGGCACCCACCGGCTGGGTCCCCATCGGCGAGGCTGGAAATGCCACGCGTGGCTGGGCTGGGGGTGCCAGGACAGGACCAGCCTCCCCAGCCTACACTGACACTGGCACCAGCACGGTGGCCCCCGCTGCATGACTCGGTGTTTCCTTGCCTCGTTGCTTTTGATTTAGCAGTTGTTAGAGAAACTAGAAGTTGCAGTTTGGGGAGCATCTGCATTTTAATTAGTAATTACCAGCAGCACTGCTCCCGCCCAGCTGTTGCCTGCAAGGTCCCTCCCTGCTGCTGCCCGCGCTGGGGCAGGGTCGGGGTCTCGGCACTGCACCTGCCTCGTGCCGGGTGTCCCCGGCAGGTCCAAGGGTGGCCCTCGTGTGGGTGCTGGTGTGGTGCCCTGGCTGGGGTGCTGCTTGGTGCCCTCTGAGCCCCTGCTCCCTGCAGCCGGAGATGCCCTCGCCCTGCCCGCCCTGTCCTCCTCCCCATGCCAGCGGGTGAGCAGAGGGTTTAGCACTGATGGCTCCCAGCAGACCAGGGGAACTGGCTGAGCAGGGCTCTGTGCAAATGCAAGAGGGTCCTGGGGTCCCGGCTGCAGCCCCGAGGGAGAGGAGCATCACTGTGCCATCTGCAGCTGCAGCTGGTTTGGTTTGTGCTGCAGCGGCTCCCTCCCTCCCACCCACTCTGGCAGCTCCCCCTGCTAACGCCTGCACTCGTCCCTGCTCCTCCACCTGATTAATTCCTCATGTGGCTCCGTAAATGCTGCTGTGATGCCCGGAGCGGGGAGACCTGCATGTACCCCCTGCCTGGGAAGCAGCTCGCTCGAGAGACAGCCTGAAGGAGAGTCCCCGGGCGCTGCAATGACCTTCCCTTGCTCCCCTCCAGGGTCATGGCTGCCACCCCCCCCCCCACGCCAGGTCCCCTCCTGCAATTCCCACTGTGTCCTGCCCCACAGCTCCGGGACCTGCAAGGTGGGTGCAGGGGCCAAGGGCAGGACCCCCCCTGCAGAGCCCCACTCCCGGCTGCTCCCATCCCCTCCCTGGCTCACTGGGCCGACGGTTCATTTTAACAAGGCTTTTAGGCTTAAGTGCTGCTTGGCGTGACTGGGAGAAATTGATATTTTGAGAATGAGCTTGCAAGGGGCCATGAATAATTCACGCCGGGGCGGTTCCATTCCCATAAACAGGCTCCTAAAAAAACCAAACCCCGTGCTTAACAAGGAAACCAATTCCCATCCTGCAAAGCCCCAGACCCCAGCTCAGCCTCCGCTGAATCTTTCATCTCCAGAAAGGGGGTCCCACACGGCAGCGGCGGCGAGGGGAGCTGGCCCCTGCACCCTTTCCGGAGCATCCCGGGGCAGTACCAGCTCCTTGCGCTGGGACAGGCGGCACGGCCCCGGGGAACCCCACTGGGGTTGCCGGTGGCAGTGACACGGAGGCCATACGAGCTGGGGGTCAACAGCATGTCACCAGCCCCATTAGGCCTGGTTTGACCTCTTTATTTCGTTAGCCCCCTTGTTAAGGGCTACCCTGTGGGGTGGAGGGCAGCGAGCGCCCGTTGCCATGGCAATGGGGACAAGCGGGTGAAGCATGTCACCCCGGGGTGGCTCTGGGGACCGGGAAGGGACACCTCTAACCCCAGGGCAGGCAGCAGGGGACTCGACCCGGCTGGGGGCACAGGGCAAGGGGCTGGGGAGGGGAGCCGGGCTCAGCCCCTCTGGCACGAATCCTGCTGTCCATCTGAGGAGGTCCCCATGGAGACCCGCGTCCCCTGGAGGCTGGAGGGGACAGGCGCTCTCTCTCCGAGCACACTGCAAGAAGCACAGCATTCGGGAGGGCGCAGCACTGCTGGGCTGGAGCACAGCATTGGCACAGGGATGATGGGTTTGAACTGGCCGTGAATAAATTTAGGCTGGAAATTAGAAGCAAGGTCCTCACTGCCATGGCGGCGGGCCCCAGCGTGGCCCCAAGATGGGACTGCCCAGGGCATGAACTCAAGCTGGGCTGGACACAGAGCCGAGCCACGTGCAGGGATGGATGGGTGCCAGCGAGATCACAGCAGCCGGACAAGGGGCCATTCCCACCTCCATGGGCCTTTCCTCCTGGGTCCACTCACCCCATGCTGGCGAGGCTCTGGTGTCCAGCTGCCAAGATGTTTGTCCTCTGCACTGGCTGGGGGGCCTCTAGTGCAACCCAGGAGCATTCCCTGCCTGCCCCGGTGCCACTGCAGAGAGGTTGGGACCCCCTTCCCCACCCAGAGGGCACAGGACGGGGTCACCTGCTGCTCTCATCCCTTGCACAGGGCCATTGGGAAGCACCTCTGTGGTCCTGCTCCCAGCGCCGAGCTGGCAGCCCGTGTGTGCCAGAGCTGCTGCACGGTGACAGCAGCGTCTGTTTGCTGCCACTGAGGATCTCTCTCTCTCTCTGGCTCCTCATTGCTGGATGCCTTCCAAGCCACGGGGCTGGATGACACTAATCTGGCTGGTTTCACAATGAAAGCCCACATCGATGAAGGGCTCGGTGGCTGCCCCACTGTAGCTCCACTGGGGAACGGGGCTGCCAGGGCTGGAGGCTGCCCATGTTTGCACAGGGATCCCGGAGCATCCTGGGAGGAGGGACCCAAGGAGGCAAACATGTGGCCAGAGCCATGCCGGTATGACCACAACCGCTGGCACCGAGAGCCACCTGGAATGAGCTTGGGAAGACAGTTCCCCTGCGCTCCAGCCTGCAGGAGAGGCGGACGCCGTGTAGCCCAGCCATTCCATGTCCCTGGGCTGACATGGCGGCTGCGCAGGGTCACCCTGACAGTGCTGCCATTCTCACAGGTGCTGGTCCTGTCTCCTGTCCAGCTGAGACCCCAGGGACCAGGATGCTGATGGCTTGAGGTGGGGGTGATGGTGTGAGATACAGGGGCTGGTGCCAGCAAGGGGTGAGAGGGTGTCGTGGTTTAAGCCCAGCCAGCAGCTAAGCACCATGCAGCCGCTCACTCACTCCCCCCCCATCCAGTGGGATGGGGGAGAAAATCAGGAAAAGAAGTAAAACTCCTGGGTTGAGATAAGAACAGTTTAATAGAACAGAAAAGAAGAAACTAATAATGATAATGATAACACTAATAAAATGACAACAGTAGTAATAAAAGGATTGGAATGTACAAATGATGCGCAGGGCAATTGCTCACCACCCGCCGACCGACACCCAGCCAGTCCCCAAGCAGCGAATCCCTGCCCCCCCCTTCCCAGTTCCTAAACTAGATGGGACGTCTCATGGTATGGAATACACTGTTGGCCAGTCTGGGTCAGGTGCCCTGGCTGGGCATGAGAAGCTGAAAAATCCTTGACTATAGTCTAAACACTACTGAGCAACAACTGAAAACATCAGGGTTATCAACATTCTTCACATACTGAACTCAAAACACAGCACTGTACCAGCTACTAGGAAGACAGTTAACTCTATCCCAGCTGAAACCAGGACAGAGGGACAGAGCAGGCATTTGGCTCCTCCAGAGGCGCCCGTGGCTGTGGCTGCAACCGGAGCTTTGCAGCTCCTGGCAGGAGCCCGGCGGGGTCTCAACCTGCCCCAGGTTGGATGTGCCGTGAGGGGTCAGAGAAAGCCCCCGGCCCTCCAGCAACACCCCGCACCCTGGGGACAAGGACCCCCAAAGGCACCGAGGGCCGAGCCGGGAGCGCAGGGGGTCACCCAGCACCCCGTCCCTGGGGAGCGGGGCGGGAGCATCATGCTGGCGCCTCGGCACGGAGCCACACGGCGATTAGCAAGGAAGAGCCCTGCAGCCCTGCCGCTGCACAGGGAGAATTAGCGGTAATA